ACCTGCTCATTGCCAGAGGGCAAAACCAAGGCCTAGCAAGGGAAGAAGTAACCCTAGGACACCCACCAAGCTGGTGGCACAACAGGGACCTGGTGGGTCTCTGTCTTACAGGCTCAAGCTCTGCTGCCTAAGGCTGTGTGCTCTGTAGGCTGCTCTGGTGAGAGAAGTAAAATGAATGGTCTGGTGCACCTAACTGTGGGTGAGGACCTCGCAATCCCCCAGGTGGCCTGAGCCTCAGGGATCAAGGTAGCAATGGTGGGTGAGTTTGAAAGGCTGGTAGAGTGGCTACAGGGGAGAAAGCATTACCAGCTTTGTTAGGAAATAACTCTCCTGTTTAATGATGCCCTTTAAAATAAGCAAGCAATGGTTTGTAGAAATGGAGACAAGAAGGCAGTAGGAGCAGAGATCGTCCCCTTCCCCTTCCCTGCATGACCCACACACATTTTAGTGTCATTAAACAGCAATGGATGGAGCTGTTCCTGCAGGATTCTGATGGCCACTGCACCAAGGCCATATCCCAAGAGCCTGTGTAGATGTTGAAAGCTTCTCTCAGGAATCTTGTTTATCATCAGTTTTGCCAGAAATATAAAAAAGCAGTAGAGGATGATGATATTCTTGCTCTCCAAGACCCACAAAAAGCCCATATTTATCCCCAAAGAATAGTCATTATCAGAGGTAGATGAATGGTCTACGCTTGAGTGTCTGGCTGAGTTTCTATTCTCATAGTCCTGTGATAGGGAAACTGAGGCGCAGAGGGGAAGGAGGCCCAGGACTGGCCTCCTGCGTCCTGGGCTGTGCCTCTTGTACTCCTGAACCTTATGTGTCCCTTCCTATCTTGGGGCTTCAGGGTCCCCTTCTGTAAAATACCAGGGGTGGGCAGCCTGTGGGAGACTCAGTGACTTGGCCCAGGCCCTCTCCGGTGCTGGCTCTCCATGGTGTTCTCATCAAGGGCATTAACCTCCTCTCTGTTCTCAAGGTTGCTGCTGGCCTATTTATAGAACTGACCAAGAGGATTCTACTGTTGCCGGCGATAAAGAATACAAATGATGCTCTGCGCATTGTTCTTTATTCTTTCCTTCACTTTTTTTTTTTTTTAAACTCCTTGGTCAATGTTTTGCTACTGCATGGTTTTCGATCTCCATGCAGACATGCTAGGGGAGAGGGGAGTGGGCTCTGTCATTTGCTGAGCTCCTACTGTGTGGCCAAGAAGGCTCTGAACTTTATGCATATTGCCTCATTTAACCCGTGCTGCCCTGGGAGGTGAGCATTGTCCTTCTCTGCAGTTCACATGTGCTGCTTTGCAAGGGGAAGCAGCTGGCCCAAGGACTCTCCACTGGCAAGCCGTGGAAGTGCGACTGGAATCCCATTTTCTCTGTTTCCACAGTCCACGTGTGATTTTTCCACTTGCACTCCTCCTGACCCGAGCATAACCTTCCAGACTAGATATGGGTGCAGGAGGATGCCTGTGGATGTTAATGGTTTCTTTTGGGGGCAATATTTACCTTCTTAATCGGGCAGTCTTTTTTCAGGACCTACTGTGTGCCAGATGATACTTAATCTCTCACCAGGCTGCAAGCATCATTGAGGACCTACTGTGCACCAGATGATGCCTTGTCTCTCACCAGGCATGTGTCATGAAGACCTTCTATGGACCTGGCTATGCTCTGCTCTTCGCTACGTACAAGTTTCATGAGGACCTACTGTGTGCAGGACAATGCTATGGCTTTGTCACCAGGCCCAAGTGTCATAAGGACCTACTGTGTGCCAGGCGATACCTTGTCTCTCACGAGGCGTGTGTCATGAAAACCTATGGTGTACCAGGCAATGGCTTGTCTCTCACGAGGCTCAAGTGTCATGAGGACCTACTGTGTGCCAGGCAGTGCCTTGTTCCTCACCAGGCGTAGGTGTCATGAGGACCTGATGTATGCTGGGTAATGCCTTGTTTCTCACCAGGCTGCAGCCTGTTATGAGGATAGACCCACTTTGTTTCCTCTAGGCTTGGCACACCGTAGGCATTTGGTCAGCCCTTGTTGAATGAATGCTGTGGTGTAGTGTTGCAGTCTGTCTAGGAAGGAGCAGAGAAGGAGGCAGGCCAAGTGGAACAGCACTGGAGCAGGGAGCTGTGCCCTCATGGAAGAGGGAGCAGGGGGCAGAGACGAGAGGACGAGGAAAGAGGGGTTAGGAAGACAGGGGCCATGGAAGATGTGGTGGCCTCAGAGGCTTCTGCTGACGCCTCCTGTGCCCTGAACCACTTTCCACTGTGCTCTGGGAGAAGCTCACTTGGTCTCAGGCTTTCTCCATCCCGCCTCTTCACCTTAGCAGGGATTTCATTTTCCCGACTGTTCCGCCAGGGGAGCCCTGGGGAATGCTAAAAGAATACTGTAAATCTTACCCTGCTCATCTTCACAAAAATCTTTTTTAAAAGCAGAATTTTGGAGAGACGCCATCCTCGTTATCCCTCCACTGGGGACTGGCATTTAGCTGTAGAATTGAGGGCCTGGGTGCCTCTTGGCTCACCCTTCCTATGCTGAGAGAGGCTCAAATGTCAGAGAGTTGCCTCTTCCTGCAGGCCTTGCCTAGCCAGGGCTCCCTCCTGTCTTTGAAAGCTCAGCCCAGGGTCTGGTTTGTCTGTTGAGAGTGTTGGGGAGTCGGTAGAGTTGTATGTGCAAATTGGGGCAAAGCTTGGGGGACACAGAGAGCTAAGCGTCCACCCCTCTTCTTAGGCATGTTATTTTTTTTTTCTCCAATATTGAAAGCAATGTGACCTCATTGTGGAACATTTGGAAAATATTGAGAAACAGGAAGAGCAAAATAATAATCACCCATAATCCTCCCACCCAGAGAGAAGCACTGCTAGCATCTTGGCACATTACTTCTCAGTTTTGTTTCATTTTGTTTTTCCCGTATGATTTTTCTCTTAACATAACTGACTTCATACTGTAAGACATGCTTTATAGCCTTTTAACCCCACTTAACATTAAAATATATCACATTTCCATGGCATTACAACCTTTGTAAATAGGATTTCAATGGCAGCATAAAATTTCAGTGTGTGTCATTTATTCAAAATTCTGTCATTTATTCAAACAGCCAGATGGTGCTGCCATAGCAAAATACCATAGACTGGGTGGCTTTAGCAATAGACATTTAATTTCTCACAGTTCTGGAGTCCAGAAGTCTGTGATCAGGGCGTCATTGTTCTCAGGTTCTGGTGAGGGCCCACTTTCAGAGTTGAAAACTTCCATCTTCTCATTGAGTCCCCACATGGAAGACAGACCAGAACTCTCTCTCTCTTCCCACAAAGCTACTGATCCCGTCGTGAGGTTCCCACCATCATGGCGTCATCTAAGTCCAGTTACCCCTAAAGGCCTCATCTCTAAAGTACCATCACATTGAGGATAGGGCTTCGGCATATGGATCTGGAGGGAAACACATCCAATCCCTAACACAGGCTGTGTTTAATATTAATCCTAGTGCTTAGTGAGTGTCTCCTTGGGTCAGTGTCTTCATCTCAGCTGCAGGCGCCTTGTGGTAAAGCAATATGGCAGACCTCAGATTCCACCCCAGGCTGTAGAGTTTGGGCTTACCTCTCCTCACAGTGGTTCCATCTGGAGACTGGGAAATGTACAATAAAGGTGGTGTTCCACACTCAGAATTAGTTGCTATAAAAAAGGAACTTCTTTTTTTTTTATCATTTTTTTTTTTTTTAACATGGAGTCTCGCTCTGTTACCCAGGCTGGAGTGCAGTGGCGCGATCTCGGCTCACTGCAACCTCCACCACCCGGGTTGAAGCGGTTCTCTTGCCTCAGCCTGCCGAGTAGCTGGGATTATAGGTGCCCGCCACCACGCCCAGTTAACTTTTGTATTTTTAGTAGAGACAGGATTTTGCCATGTTGGCCAGGGTGGTTTTGAACTCCTGGTCTCAGGTGATCTGCCTGCCTCGGCCTCCCGAAGTGCTGGGATTACAGGCGTGAGCCACCATGCCCGGCTGAGAAAGGAACTTCTTACTCACTGTGTGGGCAGGCAGTTTCCCTCCATTTCTTCATCTGACAAATGAGATCCCCCTTCCCCTCTGCGATCCCCCTTCCCCATTGGATTTCATTAGGATTTCCTGAGATAATGCATATCAGGTGTAGTGCAGAGTGGCCGACACATACAAGCCCTTTATAAATGTTAAGCATTGCTATTACCATTGCTTTTATATGTCGACCCTCTTACTTGGTATTTTATCAGGGTCCCCAAGATGACACCCGGGTTCAGTGATTCTCTAGAAAGGCTTACAGGATATAGCTTATGGTTGTACCTGTGGCTAGGGTTTACTACATCCAAAGGATACAGAGCAGAATGAGCACGGGGAAAAGGTGTGTTGGGCAGATTCCAGAGGAGACCAGGCACAGGCTTCCACGGGTCCCCTCCCTGTGAGTCCCACAGAACACACTAATTCCTCCAGCATCGAATAGTGACAAGGCTGTGGAATGTTGCCTATCAGGGGAGCTCATTAGAGAGCACTCACAGTTTTTATTGGGGGCTGGTGACATAGACCCTGTCTGCTTGTCCCCAACTTCCAGACTCCCAGGAGGAAAGCAGGTTAAGCATAAACCACATTGTTTACACACCGTCTGAGCACATGAGCCACAATTCTCAGTTAGGGAATGGTGGGACACTCCCCAAATCCAAGTTCCCGGATGCCAGCCAAAGGCCGGCCTTGCAAACGAGCCTTCATGAGGATAGCAATCTCAGGCCTGCGATGCCAACTCCTCTGCAGAGGTCTCCTAATATATCATATTTCTTGTATTTGGACCACTTCAGGATAGAGGTGGGACAGATGTTCTTGTTTTCATAGGACAAAATCGAGGGCTAGAGAAGGAAAGGGACTTCGGGGCTGGCCTCTTCTTCCACGTGGGGCTCCTGAGAAAAACCAAGGTCTGGACCAGGGGAGGGTGTTCCTCCACACCCCCGGCAACTCCCTTCCTCTAACCTGTGTATCCCTGTCTCCCTAGGCTCTGAAGGGCTCCAAGAAACTGGTGCTGTCTGTGTACTCAGCAGGGCGCATCCCTGGGGGCTACGTCACCAACCACATCTACACCTGGGTGGACCCGCAGGGCCGCAGCATCTCCCCACCCTCGGGCCTGCCCCAGCCCCACGGCGGTGCCCTGAGGCAGCAGGAGGGTGACCGGAGGAGCACCCTGCACCTCCTGCAAGGAGGGGATGAGAAAAAGGTGAGTGGGGTGGGGAAAGGAGGCCAGCCTCTCAGACGCCGTATTCTCCCTCCAAACCCAGAACAGCAAAGCTGCTTGGAGGCTGCAAGAAGAGGCTGGTTCTGTCCAGGCTCTGTCTTCCCTCAGAGTCCATACCGAAGGGTAGTGGTTTTTCTTTGCTTTTCTTTTTGACCTGTATAGTGTATGTTATGATACAGGCTAAGCTGCCACAATAAAAGTGCTCAAATACTGGGATTTATTGATTGATTGGTTTATTTATTTACTTGGAGACAGATTCTCACTCTGTCGCCCAGGCTGGAATGCAGTCGCACAATCTTGGCTCGATGCAACCTCTGCCTCCAGGGTTCAAGCAATTCTTATGCCTCATCCTCCCGAGTAGCTGGGATTACAGGTGTGCACCACCATGCCTGGCTGAATACTGTCATTTAAATGAGAGTTTTTTTCTCTGTCATGTAACAGAATAGAGGAACAGTCTCATCTGGGGGACAGTTCTGCTCCAGGACTTATCCCGGGACCCGGACTCCCTCCATCTTCCATCCCCCAGGGTGTTGCCCCTTCTCGTGGTTGAAGCTGGGCCACATTAAGTCCCCTTTCTAGTTCCCAGGAAAGAGGAAGAGAGGCGTCTCTTTAATTTCAAGATGACCAAACTTCCCACTGGCCTAGACCCAGGTGCATGGCCACACATAGCTGCCAGGACTGTGGCCGGGAGTGCTGCTCCACAGGGAATCTTGTGCAGTGTGGATCTTGGGCGTAAGTCACAGAAACCAGCTCTGGCCATTTTACAGAGCAGGGGTGTACTGGAAGGATAGGGGCAGTCCCAGAGTTGAAGCCGAGAATCTCAGGGTGCAGCCTGCAGGAGGGGGATGTCCAGCATTCCGTTCTCAGTGTCCTTCCCCTGAAGATTCTTAATGAGGGAGTACCTCATGGGCTGGCAGGGATGTCTGGGGACTTTGATTGACAAGACCACCGAGACTGTAGCCAGTGGGAGAGGGGTGGTTGCCCAAAGCACTGCGGGGTGTTCTAACTTGCAGAAGGGGGCAGGGATACCAATAGACATCCCGTGTGGAGCCCTCCTTCCCCCAGATCTGGACTGTTTCTTGAAACACAGGAAGGCTGAAATGGTCCCTGATGTCCTACCCTTCTCTTTGGCTGTTGTTTGCATTGCACCCCTTGGTTACTCCTGGAACCAAGAACGAAGCTCCTGCAGGCAGCTCCCTGGGGTGTAGGAGCTTGACACTGACTGCCAGGAGGCCACATGGCTTGGGGCTCTGGGCCAAGCGCCTTCCCTCTAGAGACTCTTTCTCAGCTCTCCTTTTCCTGTCGATAAGACTGTAACATTTATTTAATGTGTTTTGTGTTCTTTGCTCAAACGTCAATATGCAGGACGTGGCAGAGATCACAGCAGCTTCTATTGGAGGCGAGCGGCAGCAGGTAGCTTGTTGGTATGCGCCGCGGCAGCCCGGGCCGCATCGAGATTGCCGGGGCTGGGTGGGCTTGTACCCCCTCCCCATCAGGGAACTTGTTCTCTGACAATCTTGAGAGAATGCTACCAGTGGTATTGAGTCATGGTCAAGGGCAGCTGTCTAGTGTTGGGCACAGAACTCGCTTTTTCTTTTTCTCAGTCCCTTTCCTGTGCAGGGCATGGGGCGAGTGGAGCTTATCATTGATGGAGAGCCCTTGCGTGCCCAGCCCTGTGCTCACGGTGTCTTCCTGAGTCCTCCTCGCAGCCACACTGGGGGCAGGTGTCGCCATCCCCATTTTACAGATGAGGAACCTGAGGCTCAGCACTGTGGCAACCATGACCCAGCCAGCAATCTCCCAGTGTTTGCTGAGCACCTGGGTGCCTGACGATGTTGTGGGAGGCGAGAATAAAGCAGTGGCCAAGGGTGCTGGGGCCCTGCACTTGGGAAGCATCTAGCGTTTGGAGGTGGTGGGAAGAGTGAGACAATAATCCCGAAATGAGCACCAGTGAGCAAGATAAGATAAGTAAGACAGTGCAAACTGATGGGAGGAAGTGAAACCAGGAGCCGGGCAGGAGAGTGCGAGGGAGGGAAGGGCTGTTTTGGATGAGGCAGTCAGCAAGGACTTCTCTGAGGAGATGGCTTCTGAGCTGAGACCTAGAGAGAGAGAAGGAGCTGCAGCGTGCCATTCGGGGACTGAAAATCCCAAGCAGCAAGGACAGCACGTGCAAAGGCCCTGAAGTAAGACTGAGGCCAGCGTCTGCAAGGATTGGGCAGATGGGAGTGTGGGGATTAGGTAAGGTGCCTCTGGGAGTCTTACAGTAACTGATATAAGAATGTGGGGCTGGGCACAGTGGCTCACACCTGTAATCCCAGCTCTTTGGGAGGTGGAGGCAGGAGGATTGCTTGAGCCCAGGAGTTCGAGATCAGCCTGGGCAACATAGTGAGACCCTGTCTCTACAAATAATTAAAAAAAAAAAAAACTAACAGGTTGTGATGGCATGTGTCTTTGGTCCCAGCTACTTGGGAGTCCGCGATAGGAGGATCATTTGAGTGCAGGAAGTCCACTGAGCTGTAATTGCCCCACTGTACTCTAGCCTGAGCAATAGAGTGAGCTCCTGTCTCAAGAATAAAATAATGCAGAGGTGGAGGCTGCATGAATCATACTCCGGGGAGGACCCAGATACCGAAGGAGGCAGGAGACACCCTGAACCATCCCAGAGAAAGGCCGTCCCAGATTCCACAGCCCCAGACTGGTGCATCTACCCTCCTCCATGTTCCTCCTCTTCCTGACGCAGCGTGGAAACCCCATTTCCTTATTGGGAAGGGGCGTGGGCTGGTGTTTCTGGATTCCTGGCTGCCGGATCCTGGGGAAGGTACCTGGTGGAGTCTGATTCTCTTCTCTCCAGCAGCCTGGTCCCATCTTCTGATAGTCCAAAAAGCTGCGACCGGAGTCTTGGACTCATAACCATAACCTCCGCGGAGGAGGGACACCTCTCAGAAAGTGGGTTCTCGGGGCAATAGTGACATAAAAATCACACATGTAGCCAAGTTACCCCTGAAAATCCTTATGCCGTCCCTCGGAGCTGGTTATAGTTTTATAGCCCTTTTCAGGAGTGTCCTTCTCTGTGTTGTGGTATGAGACCTGTCCCGTGAGGCCGAAGACAAAGTGCAGAGGGAAGAACAGATGTAGTGCTCAGGGAGTCAGGCGTGGCCGCTCTTAAATCACTGTCAAATCCTCAGAAGTGAACGGGGCAGGGTGCAGAGCGCTCACTGTATGGCTTCCCATTTTGTTCTAACCCGCAGCCTCTATAGCTCTCATAAATTAGAATTGATTTGTCATGGGGGACTAAGTAGGATAGTGTCAGTGTGGCAGGGATGGTAAGACCTTGGGTGCCAGGCTGCCTAGGTTCAAACCTTGGTTCTGCCTCTTGCTTTTAATTTTTTTGGATATATATACCCCAAAGTGGAATTGCTGGAGCATCTGGTAGTTGTGTTTTTAATTTTTGGAGGAACCACCCTACTATTTTCCCTATTGTCTGTACCATGTTACATTCCCACCAACAGTGCGCCAGGGTTCCTCTTCCTCCACATCCTGGCCAGCACCTGTCGTTCTGTTGTTTTGTTAGTAGCTGTCCTCATGGGTGTGAGGCAGCATGAGTTTCTTCCTGATCTGTCTTCACTTTGGGCCTTTAGGTGATGCCTTAGCAATGTGCTGACAGTGCTGAAGGTCACAGCAGGGACATGGTGGTGTTCAAGGGCAAGGTCAGTTCTGCCCCTTTTAAAGTTCTTGTTCCTAACCATTCCCCTATTTCATGTCCCCAGTGTGAGGAGGCAGGTTTGTGGAACAGGACTTGTTCTGGCACATTACATAAGGTATAAATGTGATACATGCCCTCTGAAAGGGACAGGGAGAGTGCTGTGGTGTGCAGAGAAGGGAGGGTCTGCACACCAGAGAAATCGGGGAAGGCTTCCTGGAGGAGGCAGCATTTTAGGTTTGGACATGTGGCAGTGGAAGGGAAGGGTGACCCAGACAGAGGGAACAGCATGACAATATCCAGAGGTTAGAGAGAGCAAGATGGGTCCTAAGTGATTCCTTTGGCTGTGAAACAAGGCTGGAGAAGTAGAATGGAGTTAGCTCCTGCAGACTGAGATGCTGGGCTGGGAATGTGTGTGGGTGGGGGACACTTTTTTTTCTGCAGACAATGGAGACTTGCTGGGCATTCTCTTAGCTGGTGAGGGAAGAAGGGCAAAATCAATTTCAGGTATGCAAAGACCTTTAGCAAGACCATGAAAAAGAAGGTGTGCAAAGCTGGTTTTCAAGAGAGGTGAGAGTGGCTAAGTAAAAGCACAAAGAACTTCTGGAGCCAGTAATGATGTTTCTTGTTTTAGTCAAGATGAACTTCAAAGGTGGCAAATGAACCTTGGGGGAAGGTTCCAGTACTCTGCTAGCATTCCCCCCTGAGTGCATATTCAGGATGAGATTTTGCCTGAGTTGAGTGGGGTGAACTCATTTCTTTGAAATGGCTTGAAATGAAGGATAGTTTGAATCAGCTTACAGGACTAGGGGTGGCAGGAGAGAAGGAAAGAAGACCCAGAGGAGGAGGCTGCATCAGGATGGGAGAGCGAGTGTGTTGCCGTGGAGTCTCTGGGGTGGAGGGAATAAGCACGCTGTTTCTAGACCCTCCTCCGAGGCAGGTGCCTTCCCTTCTCCTCTGTGCCTCCTACAGGCTTGACTATCCAGTGTGAGCTGCAGGACTGATCACCTGTTCTTGGGTTCTGACTGTGAACGTGTCATGGGGCCCTTGCAGGGCATCCAGCAGAAACTCACAGATGGGCTTTCAGAAGGCGGCCTGCGTCTGAAAGAGATGGGGTTGTTAATGTGGTGATGAACCAGTATCCAGAGTGATGGAAGCACAGCTTCCCAGGGGTTTATCTCTTCACTGCAGTTTTCGGATTTCACGGTGGTTTTGTAGAATCATTTGACTGGTAGGCCAGTCCTATAAAATACTTACAGATAGTGTCATTCCTCCCGTTTTC